CTTATCTTACCAGCAATGCATTTCTTGCACTCAGATTCCCAGTTTTTAAGTTTGCTACAAATGCTAAAATAAAAACAAAATGAAAAAACCCACCCTAAAACAAAATCCACTCAATATGTGAATAATTGTAGTTGAAAATATGAAGTAATGGCTGATATAACAACACTTAAAATGCTGGCGTTGCACTATTAAGTGGCACATACATATTGCCTATGTGTAGTGTGGAGTCTGAAGGAATGAGGATGCCAATTTTACAATTTGTGTTTAGCCCAGGCACCTTTGTTTACCATCTTCAGGTCTCTGAGATCAATATGTGGAGCTGTGTCCTTTATTTGTCCTTATTTTAACTTCTAGAGTTTTTCTTTTTTTTTCTCTTTTCCATTCTGCCAGTCTGCTGTAATTAGGATTTAACATATCCCTCAATATATGTGGACATCAGCAAAGCAATGAATATTCTTTTTTTTTCCTATTTTTGCTAACCAAATCCAGTCTGATGTGTGATTTCTATTGGAGCTGATCTCTGCCTTAGTGAGAGGAGCAATAAATAACACTTTAGACTAGACTTCAAAATGCTTTTTTTTTCCTTTGATCAGAGTAATTAAGCTGCTGTTCCTGAGCGTTTTCTGATGGAATTACATGAGTTACACAGCTCTTCATTTGTATGTCATTAAGCATTATGTTTTATTGCTGGTGTTCAAACAATTAGTACCTAAATATGCCCCACATTCTCATAAAAAGGCAGTAGCAGTGTTAATGTTAATGCCCTGGTTCCCTGGTTAACAGTTTGTTTCCATCCAGAGTCCACCATCGTGCTTGAATGCCATTTAATATCAATCAGGTCTTTACTGATGCACTTCTGAAGTTGTTCTCTTCTGCAATCATTTAACTGTGCAGTGAACTGAGGATAAGTCGAACAATAAAGTTAAGTAAAAGTGGCATTTCTCTTAACATGGGAATTTTTTTAAGTTCATTGCAAGTTTTGGTTATAAAAAGGCCAGTGCTTCATGGTGATCAGTCATTTTGACATTTTTATGGTGTTTTTATTACCCCTGGCTCATTTCCATACTAAAGGGAACATTTGTAACAATACTTGCTTGCTCTGTTATGATTAGGATTGTGCTTTTGCCGCGCTTTGTTCGGCTGTTGCTGCGCTCAGTAATGCTCTTGGCACACGTCTTCCCAGACCCTGCGGTGTGTTTATTCAAAAGGAAGGAAAAAGAAGTGTCTACTAAAACAATAAACTACTACTACTTGCGTTAACATGGCCATAACTTCCTTGTTCTGCAGACAATCAGTTAGCAAAGCTGTTAGGTAAACTTGCTCCTTCACTGTTGAAAAAATAAATATTCATGAAGCTTACGGCCACGTTTCCCTTTGCTTTATTATCGCATTGAAAACGGTAAAGGATTTTAAAGATAAATGATTTAATCAGAGATATAAGGATGGAGGCCCAGATGCTGAAACCAGTGGGAGCTGGGATCTGAAATCTTGCTGAGGAGGTGGGTAAAGGTTTAAGGCAAATTTTGATGAATTTCAATATTAATGCTATTTACTGCTTTCAATATTAATGTTATTAATATAGAAAATTGTAAATATTAATATTTTCACTACTGCTGCCTAAGATAGGAGGTAAATATGAAAAGAGAAGTTGTGAACGGTAAGGAGGAATGAAAAAAACAGGGGGCAGGTAGCATGTCACAGGAAATTTCCAGGATAAAGTCAAGTTACTGCTTTGGCTGGTCCACATGGGTTGGAGCCCGGGAGGCAGCCAGGGGCTGCTTGGGGTGCTCCCCTGGGACCAGGGACAAACTGGAGCATTCTGTTCCCACTGTAACAGAGAATTTCTCTTGAAGGCATCACTGGAGAGCATCTTTCATTCAAAGCACTTTCTTGCCTTGCTTGGATTTCAGAGAGAAATAAGGATGTGTTTTAAGGACTGAATTCGTCCTTCTTAAGTGAGGTAACAAAGTTAGGGACAAAGTATCATAAGCTTCCTTAAATATGGAAGAGAAATGATGGTGTTTTAGTGTCCAAGTGGAAAGAAAGATGCCCAGTGGTGTTTACTGTTCCACTGAAGCCATTGAGATAAGCTAAATTTGTCATCCAGGTACCATGAAACAAAAGGATGAACCTGGCTTTGGCGCTGAAGTACAACGTTGGAAGACTAGAAAACCATGCAGCAAGTTGGTGAAGTGTCCATCTCTGTTAAATTTGCCCAAATCTGGTAGAGACCTCAACAAATAATTGTTTTGCAGTTATTGTTAAACAAAAAACATTCCTTATGCTGCTGTGTCTCTGCAGCATCCTTGTAAGCCCATGAGGATGGTGCCCTCCTGAGCTCTCCCTGTCCATAGGAAACAAAATGAGGGAATCAGAGAGGGGAGTCGTGCAGGGTGGGATTGCCTGCTGGTACAAGCCCCAGCTTTCATCGCATGGCTCCAGCCACGCTTTGCTGGCCTTGGCCCCACGCCGCCTGGGGAACACAAGCTGCCCTCTGTCATGGTTGAATAAGAGCAAAGAGCTCTCCTGCTTGACATCAGAAGAGACGCACTTTGATGTGTATCTGAAACCCTCTCCCAAATGTGCGTGCACAATAGAGGCTGCGTGTAAGGACAGGCATGACCTGATATCAGAGAGAAGTGATAAAACACTTTTCTCTCGTTTTGGTGTCTTAAGACCTAATACTCCCATATGCCAGAAGAGATTTGTAAGGGGCCATAAAGTCAGCACAACTCTGTTTGCACTTGTTTTTGGTTCCTTGAGAGTGCTGCAGGGGCCTCTGTGCAAACATGACTCTGCGATCAGCATTTAAAGTGCAAGTCTCTGCAGTATTGAATTTGGTTTGCCATCTTTTGATAGAATTGGCACCTACAAATGAAAAGGCAGAAAATCAAATGGGCAGAACAAGGTTAAAATGGCACTTAAAAATCACCTACTTGTTAAATAATTTTAGGGGGAAAGGTGATATATAATGTGTACGTAAATGACTCAGTGCCTTTCTCCATTTTCAGAGTGTCTGCACTCCAGACACCTTTACCCACTTATTCTAATTACATCCCTGTGAATTATAGTGATAATTACCCTTGCTGCATGGAAAAGATTGAAATACAGAGAAATTAAAAGTCTTTTTTTTAAAGCAGGAAGAACAGAGATTTGAACTTGGATCCATGCACCCAATTAAGGTCTGTCCAAAGCCATCACCTTCCCCCTTGTATCAGTAGTGCTTCTTTGACACAGGGAAGGCACAGGACATCTGCTGTCCTTCGGAGCATCAGGGCTAGCAAATCAAGACCAAGATCAATTATTTCCCAAACCTGAGCTGTGACAGAGTGAAGATACTGGAGGCTGTACTGGGGTAGCTGTGATGTGTTGAGATAAGTTTCTCAGTCAGTGGAAGGCACAGATGATTCATTATTCCATTCAGGGTCTTGACTTACCCTTTTTTCCCCAAAAACATGGTCTAAAATGGGGAGCTGTTTCCCCAACCGCTGGGTGAGGACAATAGAGTGGTTTGAGTTGAACTTGGCCTCATTGAAGTGACTGAGAGTCTTATGCTGGACTTCTGAGGAGAATAGCTCGTTTCTCTTAAGAAGCTAACAGTTTTCTGACAACTGCTGTCATCAGCACTGATGTGGTGCACTGATCCTGGCTGGATGCCAGATGCCCACCAAGCCACTCTATCTCTCCCTTCCTCAGGTGGGCAGGGGAGAGAAAATATGTCGAAAGGCTCATGGGTCGAGATAAGGACAGGGAGAGATCACTCAGCAGTTACCATCATGGGTAAAACAGACTCGACTCAGGGAAATTAGTTTATTGTCAACTAGAAGTCAGAGTAGGGTAATGAGAAATAAAACCAAATCTTAAAACACCTTCCCACCACCACTCCCTTCTTCCCTGGCTCAACTTCTCTTCTGATTTTCTCTACTTTTTCCCCTCAAGCAGTGCAAGGGGACAGGGAATGGGGGTTATGGTCAGTTCATCACACGTTGTCTCTTCCACTCCTTCTTCCTCAGGCGGAGGACTCCTCACACTCTTACCCTGCTCCCATGTGGGGTCCCGCCTACGGGAGACGGTTCTCCACAAACTTATCCAATGTTAGTCCTTCCCATGGTGTGCAGTCCTTCAGGAACAGACTTCGCCAACATGGCTCCCACATGAGATCACAAGTCCTGCCAGCAAAGCTGCTCCAGTGTGGGCTCCTCTCTCCATGGGTTCACAGGTCCTGCCAGGAGCCTGCTCCAATGCAAGGTTCCCATGGGGTCACAGCCTCCTCCAGGCATTCGTGGGGTCTTGCACAGGCTGCAGGTACGTATCTACTCCACTGTGAACATCCATGGACTACAGAGGGACAGCCTGCCTCACCATGGTGTTTACCATGGGCTACAGGGGAGTCTCTGCTCTGGTGCCTGGAGCACCTTCTCTCACTCTTCACTGACCTTGGTGTCTGCAGAGTTGTTTCTCTCACATGTTCTCATGCTGCTCTTCGGGCTGCTGCTGCCCAGGGTCTTTTTGCCCCTTCTTAAAAAAACTTATCCCAGAGTTGCTACCACCCTCGCTGATGGGCTTGGTTTTGGCCAACGACAGGTCTGTCTTGGAGCCAGCTTGTATTGACTGTATTGGACATAAGGGAAGCTTCTAGAAGCTTCTCACAGAAGCAACCCCTGTAGCCCCTCCTGCTACCAAAACCTTGCCATGCAAACCCAATACAACTGAGTAATATCTCTTTTTTCCTTTTTTTTTTTTTTTTTTCCTAAGTATGTACAAGAGAAATATGAGAGGAAACTTTGCTTTGCGGCCTCCTGTAGGACCTGTGCAAGATGTGCTAAGATCAAAGCTTTGTCCTACAGCTACCACAGAACGTTAGTTGTGTGTAGTTCCAGCTCATGCACATCCAGCATTCAAAAGCTTTTATCAAAGACCATGTGTTGTTCTTCAGAAAGCTCTGTGTGTGTGTGTGTGTAAATAATGATAAATAATTCACATTTCAACCAGCATTACATGGAAACTTTACCAAGCAGATTCAAATTATTTAATAAACGCTGATAAGTCCCTCCAGGAGTATCAGGCAACAAATGATAGACAAAATTTTGGCAGTGAAGAGAAGTGGCTGCTTCCAACAATTATGGATGACCAGACTGTCTAGGAAACATGTTTGGATTGTTAATCTTGATAGTTTTTCATTGTTGGGATTGTAGCTGGAGGCACTACTACAGGGAAAACTATATCAGATGTGGATTTTTCATAACCATGTGGTGTTAAATTTTGGATGTCTGGTTATTCAGAATTAAGAAAAGTCTTAAAAATTTTTGAATTTCCAAAGCCTTCAGTGTTTGTACCATTTGAAAAAAAAAAATGTTATAAAGATTTAATCTTAATGCTTTTTAACTTTCCAGAAACCAATGAAGAGTGTTTCCAGAGACAAAACCTGCTATTGCTGTTTTCAGTCATGAAGTTACAGTAAGCACTTTATGGTGGTTGCTTTAATATATATGTCACTGGTATTGGGTGATACAGAAACCCATTTTATTGTTTCCAAGACTGTCGAATATTTGAGCTGTCCCACAGTTGTATTTGTAATATTGTAAGTTGATGTCCCTGGGTTATTCCACAGCATTTGGAACTTGGAAGCTAGATTTCTTTTTTGAAAGTAGTGGATTAAACGTTGAGCGTTGGAGAAGTGTTTCGGTCTTTGCCTCTGGCAATGCCTGTACAGTGTGTAAGAAGAAATAGTCAATAATTCCCAATTTTCCAAGGGGAGATATTGGACACTGGAACCACCTAAAGTCGAGTCTGCATGGGACCCACGGCCTAGAGGGCTCTTACAACCCTTCTCTCAAAATTCAGACAGTGTCTCATTTTAAAACACAACCAGAGTATTTGCCTCCCTTTAATGTGATGGTCTAGTGGTTCTAACTCTCACTGAAGGTGTGGGAGAGGTATTCTCTACAGTCCATTCCCTGCAAATTTTTCAGCCAGGCCCTGGAAAGTGCCCCAAATCCTTACTGAGCACCCTTGGCTAGGCACACTGACGCTTGCTATAGTGTGTGGATGAGAACAAGAGTTGTGGGTCAGGCAGGAAAAGGCAGCAAGTAGCTTTTTTTTTTTTTTTTCAAACTCCAAGGTGAAGCAGCATGAGAACTGTTCAGACAACACCCCAGCCCCCCCACCTCCTTGCAGCCACCTTAATTCCCCCTGGACCCTCAGAGGCTTTGTGAGAGAGCTTTGGAGATGAGAGAGGAGCTCTTACCTCAGGGCAGGCTATCACATCTCTCAGTCATGTATCCTCGAAGAGGAGTGATGGCTCTGCTGAAAGGCTGGAAGAGACGAGCTGAAAATGGCTTCACCTAAAGCATCTAATGCAAACAAGTTAGGGAGAGAGCAAGTTGCCAGGACCCATATTTGGAAGTCTTTCATGGCCATCGTCTGCCATCATCTCAAGCCAAGAATCATAAGCATTATAACAAGGAGATATACTTGAGTGCAGAGGATTACAATTTTCTCAAGGATTCTTGTCATAAACCCCATAGTGGGTAGAGCTTAACATAGTTTATGATAATAACTGAGTATCACATTGCCCATAGCATCAAAAAAATGACAGCAAAATTCAGGAGCAGGTGGGCAGCTTTAATTATATAGGCTCCAAAGGGAATAAACACTGGGATGGTTTTTACTGTCTGTCTGGTGTGAGTCAGTCCACAATGACCCTACGTGTGTTTTGGCGAGAATAAAACATCTAGCCCATGTTTAACCATGCAAAATATCTTTTTTTTTCCCTCCTCCTCTCCCTGTGAGAACAGAGAAAACAGGATTTGTAGGAGGAACTGGGGGATGTAATAGTGTCAGTGATTTGCTCATATCAGGGTTGAAACATCAGACGGAGGAAGTACCCGAACAGCTGGGACTGCAACAGATGTTCTCCAGACAGCTCTGCCTCATGAAGATGTAGTATAGTAATAGGTCATGTTACAGAAACAGAAAATTAAAAAGAGTGATTTTACATGCATGAGCACTGGCTCCCTGGGCCCGGCGGTATGAGTGACACTGAACAGGGAAAGGCAGCTGGGACCCTTCTGAAGAGATCATTGTGTCCCTAGCCACCAGGACGTGCTTCTCTAGCATATAGATGTCTCTAGCAGAAATAACAAGACTCCCGGTACTCAAACACAGAAGGGGTGAGTGCAAAATCCCCTTGCCATTCCTGCAATTTAAGGGTGGATTCTCAATTACTTGGTGCCTCTGCTTCAAGGCTTTTAGCCTCTTCTGCTGCCTCTCTTCCCCCAGGTCACTGAGCAGGGAGTTTCTTGTATACTGACATGGAAAGGAGAGTAGCTGAAGGACTTGCAGCAACTTTGTCTGAAATTTCCCGAGATGCTTAGCTTTAGTCCTCAGACATGGTCAGAAGAGCCTCCAGGTGGTGATATCCCACCTAGAGCTCCATCGCAGTCACACCCACTTCAACCCAAGGCCTCCCAGAGAAGGTCCCAGAGTGTGGTCAGGACAACCACTACCTTTGTTCTTGGTAGTTGCCACTGTTTGCATGCTGCTGCATTCATCTAGGAAGAAAGAGGCTACCATTGAGACCAAGGGGCACTAAGCCTTCCTTTTCTTCATACTAAAAGAGTGTCTTGATCACTGGGTCACAGGATTTTTTGAGAGCAGTCCAGTTTTTTCCCTGAAGCTGAGCCAGTTTGCAGCCAGGAATGCAATAGTGACGAGGTCAGATGGTGAACAGGGAGAGGAGAGAGCAAAGTCTTGTACTATTACTACTTTTTCTTCTGAACCGGGCATCTGTTGCTTGCACAACGAGCAACATCTGAAAAAAGAAACTGGCCTTCTTCACTTTTTCCCTTTGGGTACATAGAGGAATTTGTTACTCTCCTGGCTGATTGCTCTATTTTAATATGTCCCCACAGTTTTCCTCATTTACTTATTTTCATCACAAAACTGAAGTTTACCCTCTTACATCCCGAACATGCACTCCTCAGCGCCTTCAATATGTTATCATACTGATGGGTTTTATGGGTATTTTATGCAGCATTGCCACTATGACACTAAAAAAACTCCCAACAGTAAATGGAAATGGACTCCATAGGCTATTAAATATATTTAAGTAAACACATTAAGCAAGCATTAAGAAAAGTGAGTACTCTTAACTTGATGAAATGAGACTGAAAGCACACAAGGGCCCCATAACGGCAGTTTCATTACAAACAGACTCCTGTACACATATTCACATGTTCCAGCCCTCTCTCCTAATATGAGAAAAGTGTGATCTGTCATGTCTTTGCATGATATCACTGCTCTGCTGGTGTTTAAATAATTATAGTACAATGTGAAATGCCTGAGACCAAAGACATCTCCATCCCAAGTGGAAGGGCCTCGTTTTGTTGTCTCTCCAAGTTCATCAAGTTCCCATAGCAACCTAGAGATCGTCATATAATTAAATAACACATTCTCGAATGTGTGGGGAAGACACTGGGGATTTCTTAAAATGTTTGCATCTCCTTAACCACTAATTTCTGATGAGAGTAGTTTCATTCAACCTTTAGCACACCTTATGCTGTAGTACAGTTCATTTTACAGCAGTAGACAGACAGTGCTGTAAGATTTAACTGGCCACTCTGACAATGCAAATGGCAGTGTGGCCATCTCTTACTGGGAAATTATATAGACTAAGACAGCAATTCACAGGCATCCCACTATCTGAAAGTTATTGCTCAAAATTTATATGGAGGGTTTATGAATAGGAAACACTTGTATAAAATTCAGGGAACGATTTGTGAGAAAAGAGAAGAGGAACTGGGATTTTTTTTTTTTTTTTAAACATGTTTTCTATATTACATTTGCAATTAGTAATTGCTTCCTCACTTGGGATTACAGGCTATTATTTTAAGCTTCAGAACATCAGTAACATGTAGGGATAGATTAATTGCAATTCTCTGTTTTTTTATTTCTGAATGGAGATGCCTTGGAAAACCTGGATATTAACCTTACCTGGGAGATTAGGGTAAAGGGATCTGGTCCTTACCATTCCATGTTGTCTTGTATATCTGATCCAGACCAGTCTCGTGTTGCCATCTCTCTTTGCCCCACACCTCCTCTTAGCCCTTCACACTCGCCTGCCCCTTCAGGATCATCCTTGCAATAGTACCCAGAAAAAATCCCTTGCTATGAAGAAAAAGGTGTAGAGCTGAAAAGGCAAGTTGGATTTTAGAAGGACCTTTAGAAATACTTTTCTACTGCTTGTAGCACCTCACTGAAGCCTTACTTGACTTGTCCTGGTCATTGAACATTCTTCATTGCTGTAATATTGGCTGGTCACAGAGCTCCCATGGGAACCCCACTGCCCGGGATTGTGGATGTGAATCATGGCAGGGATTTCTGCAAGCAGCATCTGCTACCAATGCACAGGATGGCACTTCATAAGTCACTGAGTCATTCTCTGCCAATATGGTATGACTCTTGGAGCACAGCCTGGAGTTGTACAGTTCTATCTGCTACCTGGAGCAATTTCCTCAGTTTACTGTACTGGAAGATGTAGAGGAAGTCAGCCTGGGCTCCATCTTGCCTCATCTGCTGTTTCTGGGCTAATGAATGGTGTGCTCTCTTGGCAAGGTCTCCTTGGCTCCTGACTAGTAGCTTTCTTCCTGACTGAAAGCTTGGGACAGGCAATAAGAAGAAAAACCTGTATTGTAGGAACCTGAGTTTAAAAGATACTTCATGAGGAACAATTAAGAAGTAACAACATGCTTTCATAGTAACACCTGAAGAGAGGCTGACATTGGTTTTGTAAAAGTTTACAAGGGTGGCAGACAGCCTTGTCCACACTTCCAAGACCTCAAGACCCTTTGGAAACTCATCAGTCATGTCCATAACGTAGCTAAAGGCTTGGATGATCAGTAGCCTTTGCTACCCACTTCCCAAAGTCACAAGAGAAGAGGACCAGCAAGGCACTTAGGGCTGCTCATCTGGATTTTTTCTGCTGAAACCACTATCTTCCATGAATGCTGTGGTAGAGCATGGCAAAAAAAATGATAGGAACCCACAAGCTGCTGCACATATTTATGCTGAATTCCTGGATAATTTACTGACTGCAGAGATGATACAGCCCAGACTTCAAACCATAAAAAGAAGGTGTGAAGAGGAGCAGGGGGAGAGCAGGGGGAAACACTTGAATCTTCCCTCTGGGAGGCTTTTCTAAAACTTATCCAGTTTGGCATGGCCTGGGATGCTTCAACTGGAAAATCTGCAGACAAGGGAGACACAAGAAGCTGTTTCAGGATTTGAGAGGCCTTTTTGAGGGTGAAGTTCAGGGAATAAATAGCCAAGGCCAGGGAGAGAAGTCAAAGCAGGAGAAGTTTAGGGTCAATTGCTGTAATTTAATATAACTGCACCCACCACAGGAGTTACAGCTTGCATGCTTAGCACTGAGAAGGAAATGTACAAATAAAGTAATTTGGAGGAAGAGGATGAAGCCGAGTTGAGAATGAGAGAAAAAGCCAATCACTTTGGCTTAGTCTACCCCCCAGTTTTCATTATGCACTCCATGACCCGTTTATATTTGAAAGGGGAGTCCTCTCTGTCTGTTCATGGAAAGAAACCTTAACCAGGGCTGGTTTGCTATGAGAGCAGATCTGCCTGGAGAACTTGGCCTCCACAAGCAAGTAGGAAAGTTTTTCCCCATCCTGTGAGATGTTTCAGAGCTTTTGGGTTTCCCCTTCTGTAATAAATAAGAAGAACAAGTAAAACTCTCCACGCCAAACTCTCCCCCTCCAGTTTAAGATTGGTTCGACTGAAATTTTTAATCTGAAGCATATGGGAACAGTTTATTTCAATTCTGATATCTAAAGACAATGAAAAACTTTTGAAAAGTTTAGTGTACTGCAATTTCAAAGGTGCTTTAGAATAAAAAGAAATTCTTCATTTAAGGAAAAAAAAAACAGAAGAGAGAGAGCATTTATGGCAAGTATATTTCAAAAATGTTTAGTCTGGAGATTCTTCCTGCCCCAAATGTTCATGTTCCTGTAAGCAGGTTGGCTTCTGACAAACCAGTTTCTAGGAAATGTGACTTTTCTCATGTTAGTTTCCTGCACTGCTTGGGAGATCCTCATTTCTGTAGTCCTGTGCCTCAGTCATTGTCCTTAGATCTGTATTGAAACAATCCACACTGAGCTTTCCCAAAATCTGTCTGCTCACATGGGCTGTAGAAGCTGAACTGAGCAACAAGAGGGACTTTTTGCTTTTGCTGTCTGATGAGACAGCACAATTGAGCTGATGGGCAGCTTTTTCAGTAAGAATTTTGAAGGAAGCCGTTTATGCTCTTTCACACACACACACACACACCCCCCCTTTTTTTTTTTTTTTTTTTTTTTTTAAGTGGTGATGGGGAACTGGAATAAGCAGTCTAAATCTAAAAGGAGAAGTATGTGAACCAGACACGGTTTGTCACAGCCTGGAGCAACAGGCAGTCTGGTATACCCAAAATCTAAAGCATCAGGTATTCTGGAGACTGGGAGAGGATCCAAAACCAAGTTAACAGGGCATTCAGATTAGAATAAAAGAGACCTTATTTAAGGAGTTATAAAATCATTGAAATATGTTCCATGTATAGAAGGAACAAGAGGTCACAGAAGTGGCCAGTTTGGCTTACACAAGGCACCAAGGGCAACATGCTGGCAGTACACATGCTAGATGATGCCAAAGAAATCAAATGTAGCTTGCTTCAGTTTAGGAAGGCCAAGGGACCAATAACACAAAGAGATTAAATTATAACTTGGTCAGTCCCCTGACGCTAGCATGTTTCTGGAGCTGGAACTGAAGCTTTTCCATCCAAAATAGGGTTCATTGTGTATGAGCCCTGTGGCTCACCACGTAAAGCTGCCTCCCTCCACTCTGAGCTGGGTTTTAGGTTTTCTTTGTATCACAGACAGGAAAAACACACCGGAGACAAAGCGTGTATCCCTTGGACTATTGCAGAAACCCTGTCCCTCTCTCCCTGCGCTCCCCACCACACCAAAGCCCCCATCCCCTCTTCATTAAAAAAACCTTAATAATTACCCCAGAAGACCTAATGACCCAAATTCTAAGATGCTTTTCAGTGCAGGGTGTGGACATTGCAGGGGGTCTGTCATGTCAGAGATATGTAGGCTAATACTTGGGACAGGAGAGCTCTGCAGAAGGTACCTCAACTCCACTATTTTTTGAGAGAAGGGAGAGGAATGACCGACCTGATTCAGTGCTTAGATTTAAGAAAAAAAACCCAGCTTTTAATCCCACAAGAAATTTCTCCCCTTCAGCGTTTTGCTGTTTTTCATAGAGGGTCTGGTACTAGGCAGAACTGTGCTCAGGGTGCTGTTGTTTGTGAATTACCATCTTTAGGAATTGCCTAATTAGGATTTAGGAACAGGGCCTAATACTGATCCTTAAATCCTTCCTGTGAATCTAGTCCCATGCGTACAGGCATTTAGTCTTTGGGAGCAATCAGTGCAGCCCTACACAGTTTGGTTTTCCTATCTTTAAAATGTGCAAGTTGAATCAAAACACGGGGGAAATCCTGTGAGCATTAGGCTCTTTGTTTGTTTAATCCCTCCTGGATTGCCATGTCTAAATATTTATGTTACCTGAGATTTTGTTACAAACTTAATAATCAGTGCTGCTATAGCCCAGCAAGCAACAAAAACAGTCTGGTTTGCACAATGCTTAGAGCAGGGAACAATCTTGAGCGTCTGGAAGGCGCTTTGCCCATGGCGATGCATAAACATGCTAGTGTGGGTTTTTGTGCATGTAGGAGTAGATCGCTTTTGTTATCCCTTCTGAAAACCTAATCTGAAACACAGTTTCCTGTGCAAAAATTAAAGGGAGGCTTATCACCCACATAGCCATAACTGTAGGTTATCTGACTGTATTTTGTGGTTTAAATTGGAGCATATTTTCAGAGAACTGTCTAATTTGATACTGTTTTTCTCCTTCTATCTGTCTGCTGTTCTCCCCATTTCCCGATAACAGTCACTATTAATAGATACGCTATTGAAGTCAGCACTTGGCAGCTCTAGTTTATGGTTTTAATTGAGAGAGGCATATCTGAGACATGTGGAGCGCTTTGTTCAGCTTCAGGCACTACAGCTTAAATAATATGTACTCCAGAAACACGAGATCCAAATCACAGAAGATAGATGGAAAAATTGTGGACAAATGAAAGAATAGATTTGCTGAACACCAGAAAGCTCTGTAACTCAGTGGGAAGGCAAGCACTGAAACAGACTGCATAGGAAGATTTCTGAAAGGAGGTTTTTAAGAGACCTGAGACAGGTGAACCAGGACTTAAACTGAGCTATCATAGACATTCATTGCTGGACAGCTGTATTTCATTTTCTTTAAGAGCAATTGCCCTCCTGATTTAAACCCAATTCAGATTAGACCTTAAAAATCTGTACCTTATGGCATTTTAGGATTGAAGGCAAATGAAAAAACCTTTCTGGACCTCTCCTCCAAGCCTTTTCCTTGACTAAAAGCATGTGGAGATCAGGTTTAGCTCCTTAAGCTCTAACCTAATCTGATCTAACTTTCTTCAGAAAGTTAGAAGGCTATGAAACACAGAGCAGACACAGCTCTTCAAAATTTATGCAATATAATAGAAGTCCTTAGTACATCATACACAAACCCAATGAGAAGAATTTCTATTTCTTCACAAGGCATATACACAATAATTCTTGTAAGTACTTTTTGTTATCACAAGCAAATTACCTCTTCTCCTTTAACTTCCTGGACCTCACCCAACCAGCATCATCTTCTTCAGTCTTCCTCTGAAAGGACCTTGTCTTCTGAAGCCACCTATTGCTGAATTTCGTCTTAAATCGGATCCTGGGTTACCAGCAGTGTTTTCTGTACTGGTGATTACAATTGCTCCCAATGGATCTGTCTCAAACCCATGGCAATAAGGAAATCACGCTGCCAGAGCCCACCTGCTTGTTGTCCAGCCCCTCGTTTTGCTGATGAGCTCTGCGGTGAAACGCTCCAGGCCCACCAACATGTGCTTCTCATCAGCAGCAAAGGAAGCTGAAGCTGATAGGGTCAAACTGGATGAGCTAATCGTTTTAATCAACAAATCCCTAAACACAAGAGAGATGCAGCTGCCTGGCTGTTACCGTTATCCAGCCAGCTTGCGGGAGGACAGCAATTAGCTTGCTGAAATGCTAATGAAGAGGCAAAATTGTTGAAACGATATGCATTGCAAGGCCAGGAGCATAAAGAGACCAGTGTGGAGGAGCCAGGGGAAGGTGGAAGAGGAATCCAACTCCATCAGAGATATGGCCAGGCGGCTCGGGGTGGTGAGGAGTCTGCAAATGTGGATCAGAGCCAGATAGGGAGAGGAGCAGCAGGACTGCCCTAGAGTTCCTACATTTGGGTGTAGACCCTGGTGCTGGCCCATCCGGTGCTTCACCATGGGCTATTAACATAGTTCTCACATATTTTAGTGTTTTGGCATATTAAAGAGTATCAAGAGGATGTTTCTTACCACTAATTAATCTCTCCTCAATCCTCATGTCTCACTTCACTCTCTTCTTTATGATTCCCCGCGGGCCTCTGGCTCTGGAAATCTCATTACCACAAACACCATCTCTTGCTCCCTTCAAAGCTCACATCATTACAAACCCAAACTGTTCTTGTAAGAAAAGCAATGGCTCCATTTGAACCTTCTCCTGGGCCTTCCCAGGCATTTTAAGCTGTTCAATTATTTGCCTATCAATTACATGAATTAGGCGTAGCAGCAAAATCAGGACCCACTGTCTGAGGTGCAAATGAGGCAAATAAACCTCAGCCTTCTCCCTAGTGAATTTAAAATCCACCTGCATGTGCAACATTGGCTCTCCAGGGCCTCTTGTCAGAAAAATATCTGTAAAATGGTATAAAAATTAATCACTCATTGAAGGAAAAGTGAGACTAAGCAGCAGAGAAACACAGGGGAAGGTGTTAGCTTGGAAGTCCGTGAAGAGTTTCTGTCACTTCAGTTTGTTTGTAGGTTTGTTTGTTTTTTTTTTATTCCAGCAAGATCTAAGATCTGAGAAGATGATCTATATTTGAGAAAACATTCTTGAGCATAGAGGTCATCCTGCAGTATCCCCAGAATCCCCTTCTGGGGGCTACAAAGCTGATTAGGGGCCTAGAACATCTCTCTCACGAGGAAAGGCTGAGGGACTTGGGTCTTTTTAGTTTGGAAAAGAGAAGACTGAGGGGGGATCTGATCAACGCCTGTAAATACTTAAAGGGTGGGTGTTGAGAGGATGGGGCCAGTCTTTGTTCAGTGGTGCCCAGTGACAGGACAAGAGGTAATGGACACAAACTGGAACGTAGGAAGTTCCATCTAAACATGAGGAGGAACTTTTTTACTTTGCGGGTGGCAGAGCACTGGAACAGGCTGCCCAGAGAGGTGGTGGAGTCTCCGTCTCTGGAGATATTCAAAACCCGTCTGGACGTGTTCCTGTGCAACCTGCTCTGGGTGGACCTGCTTTGTCAGGGGGTAGCACTACATGATTTCCAGAGGTCCCTTCCAACCCCAAATCATTCTGTAATTCTGTGAGATGTGTTGCATAGTCTTAGTACTAAGACTGAGTCAATGAACCTCTTTGTACTGACATATGTCGTGTAATACACTGGGGACCTGGTCTAACTTCTCAAAACCAGAGATTTAGGACACTCCGCTGGCTCCTGACAAGCTCCTTGGTGCTGGTGGTACCCACCACAGGCAAAGGTGATATTTTAGAGTGCCCTTCATTCTCTCACTATCACTAGTGAGTTGCCAATAGCCCACCCTTTTTCCTCCACTAAAGGCATAATAACTCACTTCTTGGTGGTTTTACAGGTGCTGTGCTTCAATCCCTGTCTACATGCTGAACTTGTGAGCATTTATCAGGGCTTCATGAGCATAGTGCCAACTTTTAAATTCAATGACTGTGTACCAACTACCTGAAAATCCTCTTTCCCCATCCTCTCCAACCATGTGTCTTGAGGTTTGCATTTAAAACCAGAAAGATCCAGGTTGAGAAGCCTTGGCTGGACTGAATAGCTTCAAGTTTGTCCCTGACAAAACTACTTAACTTCAGTGGGACTCCAGCAGTGATGAATTCTGACCTTTACATGAAATCCAAGGCAGAGCAAGAAAGGATGTCTCTGTATTCTAATTTAAATTTTACACTCAAAGGATATACATACATTTTAAACCCACCTATTTAAGCCTTGCAGCTGAACCATTCAGCTCTTGTGTTGCCACTGAGAATTCAGGAGAAATGTTTGACAGAGGGTGAGGGAACTGCTCTGCATCATTAGGGAAAGCAGAGGTAGGGGGTGAGAGTGTGTGACCTCTGGAAGAAACAACCCACACTGAATGCATCAAACAGTAAAAAGTTGCGAGAAAAGAAGAGGATTAAAGCCCTTATACCACACTTGAAATCACATATGCCTAGAAGTAGAGAAATTCCTTCCTAACTTGTTTTCTCCCTATATAATTAGTCTTCAAATATGCTTTCTGGAGTGAGTGCATTTGTCCCTATCTAAGGAAACAAATGGAATGATGTAACTGGTTTCTTTCAGTTCCCACTTCAGTGCAACTTCACAATACCCTTGGACTTCAGGGGATTAAGTTCCTGTCTTGGCCGTGGTCCAGTTACTGGTCATTGCTATTTGTCGATTATCCCAGCATTCCAGAAAACATTTTATCCCCTTCATTAACTCACAATTGACCAATCACATAAATCAGGTTAAGGACTAGTGGACATGTCTACAAAGAAAGGAGAGATTCAAAGAAAAGACAGATTAAAGAACAGGTTGAATTTTTTATTTTTTTTTAAGATCTCTATTCTTGAAATTGCAAATAATGACCCCTGCAAAAACCAACATTAATTAAACCTACCACTCTTTTGTTCACACTTCGAAAAGATGAAAAAAAAATCGTCATTTCTTCAAAAGAAGACTCCACCTTCTTAAAGATACACAGCTCATTTCCATCGTCATGTTTAAAACCCATTATTTACACATGTAACATCTGTGAATCTATGAATATGTGGATGCATAACTTCATGTCTGTTGTGGGATCACTGTGTTACCAGCATACTGGTGTGCTGCTGTGGGGAGAGACGAACATTAGTGGACACACTGAGGCAAAGTTTTACCCGGATTTCCATGAGCCTTTGATTCATTAAGAGTCAGGAGAAGTCTTGGCACTGATTTCACTGAGAGCAAGACTATGTCTTGTACAAAATCGATTTGCTGCCTTTATGGGTGATATGCTGGTAGCTGAGGAGAGTCCTGGTGCAGGGCTGTAATCTCTTTTGCTTGAAAACAAGGACCCTCAAGCCTCCTCCAAGGTATCAATTAGGGCTGCAGTTTTGCATCCTGCCCTTCCCACACCTCCTTCTTTGTATTGGCCATGCTGCAGCCCTGGAGCTGTCAGAGAGTGATACAATTCCTTGTGCCTCTTGTTGGTATTTGGAATACATATTTTTCTTGGTTTGACTTGGGGAAAAATGTTTCCAAGAATGTAGCTGGATGGGTTTTAAATTGTACACTTTGCCATGGGCCATTCTCTGAGATCTTGCGTATGTGAGACCAACATGTCTCTATTTGTGGGCAGGACCAGTAAGTGCTGCCTGATGAGGGGTGACTGGTGCGCCCACATCCTCTCCATCCAAGGCCTGGGTTGCTGTGGGCTCCTGGAGGAGAGGCAAAATACATGGTTCCTTTCTTTTGATGTCTGTGGGGTGTGATTTTCTGTTATAAAATGTACATGTTATTTTTGTGTACAAAAACTGCTATACCTAAGGGATTTGGACCCTACAAGAAGACAGGCATTCTTGATGCAATTTTTGCTTCCTCAGGGAAGAGAAATTTAAGCTACTTGATCAGTGCAGGACTTGTTTTCTTTTCTCCTAAGGGAGATAGGGGTTATCATGGTCCAGCATGGCAATAGGGGTGGAAGCATAGAATCTTAGAATCAGAGAATATCTCAAATTGGAAGAGACCCAAAAAGATCATCAAATCCAACTCCCTGCTCCTCACAGGACTACCTGTAACTAAATCATATGACTAAGAGCAGAGACAGTATTGAGAGCTCTTCCTCCTCTGCAGCCTCTAGGCATTTGCCTTCATGTAAAATCTCTTCAAAGGCCCAGTAACACTGCCTGTGTGCAGCTTTTCTGTCACTCAGAAAACATGAAGCTTCTTGAATCAGGTCTTGGAGTTAGCAGATGAGATGAGGGCCATCTTCAAGGAACTACACCTTTAAACAAGGATGAGTCTGATGCTGCTATATCTGGGATAGGTATGCACCTTTGGGTTTCCATCTAAGATTCAGCTTTTATGGGATCTTGTGTGACATCACTGATAACTGAAGAGTCATACATGCTCTTCTGGCCTTGGGATACCCTCTTTTAAGTTGGCATAACAAAAATGGTTCGGGGGCTGAGGGCTCCACCCATTCTCTTCTTGCTCAAAATGGTCCTTTCTGGCCTTAAGCTCTATGTATGTGCTGGCAAATATGTGTTTGATTTGTGTCTGGCATTGTCTGTGCTAAATGATCCCAGCCACTGTCTCTATGTCACCCAAGTGGTGGCCATGAGAAAACTGCTCACTGGGAACTGCTGACTCCTGACCTATTGCCAAAAATTGTCTGCTGCAACGCTAGCCAGCCCTGGACAAAATCATAACAGTGGCTGTTCTAGCAATGCACAGTGAAGACAACTGAATTGCATTGACAGAGTGCTCCTTGGTCCAGTTTGTCTGCTGGTATAGATGGAGCCAAAGGCTCTGAGCACTTCACTCCC